TGAATACAGCATGAGGACTAAGCCACCTCAGCCTACCGAGAGGGCAAATGATGGCATATCGCCACACATGGATAAGATGCTGACACTGCTCCCTTCTCTCCTATCAGTAAGTTCCCATTGCTTGAAAAGGTGATGAGGTTCGGTTATATTAAGTGATTTTAGCATACTGCTTTGAGATTAGATAAAAGTATTCTCCTGCTGTTAGGAGTGGACATGCAAGCTTGTTCTTTTATTTTAACCAATGATAAACTTTAATTAAATACTTATGGACTTAGAGCTTTAGGACGTGTAGTGTGCACACTCTTTTTTTATTCCTTTGCTTTTGAACTATTAATGTATTTTCCTTTTCAAAAGCTGGCAAGGAATGAGGCTTCAAAGGGAATATCTTCCCCTCTTGTGATGCTTCCTGCACTAGTTGGTATTCTCTGTAAAAATCTTCTCACTGTGAGCGCATTACTTTGGCCAGATCCTTATTATTTAAGTTTTTTAGTGTGTACGCCTTGTGCTTTCAGCGCTGATATTCTCTGCAAGAAAAAGCTGTTGTTTTTGTTGGGCTCCTTTGGGAAATTGAATAAAACTCTGCTGTACGTGAAGATGTTTTCTGTGCAAAAAAGGAATGAATTTTATAAAACCGTACAATATTTTCAAGTGACAAAAGCCTGAACATTATCATAGCTACTTCTAAGATGTCATGAGGCTATGAATCAAACATGTAGAATGCATTCTCTGCAATTAGTGTTGGGAAAGAGGCCTTCAGCATCTGAAATGAAAAGAGAAACAGTAATATTTGATGCTAGTGCTGCTAGGTGAATGGTACCTGGACGTTCAGCTCTAATGCTGCATCTGATTCTTTAATTAGTGTTTTCATCAATCAATATAGTGCATTTAGTAGTCTGAAGATGCAGTCTTTTTTGAGATGTGTTATTAATAAGAGGAATCTCTGCACCGATGTCTTATGGTACATAGTATGAGCAGGAAAAAGTAACAAATGAGAGAGGTGAAGCTTACAGGTTAACTCCACTTTCAAGGGAAAAAAAAATAGCAATTTAGCAAAAAAAAAATAATATAGCATACACAAAATTACTACACAAGCCATTTTGTAATTGAATATTATTAAAAATTACCTTTCCTTTTCAGTTTGCAATCACTGTCAAATTCAATTCAAAATGGAAACCTTGAGGTATTATGTACACCATTGGTGTGTTATAACAACCTCTAGAAATGTAATTTCTTGCTTGTTGTGATTGGCTCACTAATTTTCCAAGAAGTCTGAAACCAAGATAAAAACAAACCGATTTTAGGCATCCTCTGCAACTCAAAAAAATTTCAAATGTGGTGAGATACTCCCCAAGGGTTAGTCACTTCTAAAGATAGACACAGACAAAATTTTCTCAATAAATAACACTGCAAGAGCAGTGCCACACAGCTGATTGATAATGAAAATGAAAAGTCACTTACAATTCAGAATTTTACTCACTACAGAAGAACAAACTGCACTTTTTCCTTTCTTCAGAGCAGAAATAGATAAGAATCTGACATAAAAGTTGCTAAACACATCCTTGCAATGAATATTGATCAACCAAAGTTTTTGGGAATTTGTTTTTTCTCAGACAACAAAAGTGGAAATTACAGTCTTTAACACCAAGTATGGCAGGATGGCTTCTTAGAATGTTATTATTAAATGTTACCCCCCCTATTGTTGGAACCGTTCTTCTGAATTGTAATGTTACCAATGTAAAAGAGATATTGTTGGGTCCCAGACGTCAAAAATTTTTATGCAGTGTGTAAAATTGATTTATTACAACTCACATACCCGTATTATAGTAAACTGTGGCTCCTCCCGATGCATACATACCTCCTCCGATGGCTCCATAGACTTAAATATGAAGTTGCTCCTGCAGTGCAGGTAGGTTCCATTCAATGCCTACAGGGCATTTCTGCTATAGCTCTTTGCGACAGTTGAGCAATTAGAATAATAACTGGCTATAGGCTGTAGGTGTTAGTAGGACATGTGTGATAATTTTTGTTACGAATCAAAATTCGGAACAAAATTTCTCTTATTCAGAGTTTTGGATGTGTCCTGAAATCTACGAATCACAAAAGAAAATGAATTTCAACGCAAAATCAGACATAAATAATAATGAAAATAAAATAATGGGGTATAGGTTAATTTGAGGGGGCATGCGCGATAGCGACTGGCAGCAGGACCGGCCGAACATCCCACAAGCAGCAGCTGGACTGATCGGGGGAGGTGCTCGACGGCACGATCCTTACCACATGCTTGGTAAGCTACCCAGGAACTGCAAACTCGCTATGGTCACTGGGTGGTGCCCCGGGGCCAGAACTTCAATAATACCCAAAGAGCATCCGCTGAAGTGCTTGATTCGAGGAGCGGGTCTACCTCCAAGAATGGTGTGGTGCCACCATCTTCTCATGCTGGCTCGCACACCGCTCACCTTGAGCTCACTCTCGCTACCTCCTACCATTCGCCACTCGTCTACTCGGGCTGTTCCCGCCTACATAATTTTCTATACAACTCGGGCGAAGTGAGAGGCTACTTTTGATGCTATGACCAGGACACAGAGATCCTACAGCCTCCTCTACTCCTATTTGTCTCCTACAATCTAATTCTCCTCACTCAGGAGAAATGCTGCAAAAAGTGCTCCAACAGACTTCAGACCAAATCAAAATAAATCGCCTCTCTAAGGAGATCCGCGAACTAGGCTGCGTAACCTCAGACATAGAATTAAAAATCTGATGATCACAATGGAAGTCGCAGTGAATAACCCATGTGGGAGGATACTAGAAATCCTGCAGGAAAAAATTTTTACTCTGCAATCTCAGTTAGAAGATTACGAAAATAGGGCCCGAATGCTCTTAATAAAAGGATTCGAAAAAACGGCATCCCCGTGAAACAGTAATTGATCTCCCAATCTATACAACAACTACAGCCCTATTCCAAGAACTGGCCCCCTCTACTCCTTTGGAGTGGCTTGTAAAATGGATCGGATTCACCGAGCCTTGGCTTCGTGCAAATCAGAGGGCCCTTCTAAGAGATATCATAACCAAGCTGCATTTTATGGCACACCAAGGAGCTAACTCTTATCTGAGGCACACCGGTGGGAATCCCTCTCTTTCCAAGGGCACCATTATCAACTATTCACATGACCTCTCACAACTGACTATTCTCTAAACGTAAGGCCTTTAAACCTCAGTTGCTGACCCTCTGCAAACATCACCGCATCGCCTATACCTGGGACTTCCCATTTAGCCTGCGCTTTACATTCCAGGGAACCAAGTATGCCTGCAAATCCTCGGAGGAACACCGGGATCTCTTACAAGAAACTACACCTAGAGCCTCCCTCACCTCCATTTCACTGAAAATCGAACCCAGACGTAGATCAGTTTCTAGCTCACCACTAAACCCTCTGCCTCTGCTGATGGGTCTCTCCTGCGTGGCCCTAACAAACGAGGTTGCTTCGCTTCACCAGCTCAAGAACCCTCCGACTCCATGGGACTGACCTGACTACGCCTAGCAGAACATTTGGCCTAACTCTTCTATGACTCACTGCTGGATCTCCTGTAGTTTAACCATTTTGCCCACGTTTGGCACCTTTTTTTAATTATTGATTTTATTGATTTACTCAACCCACAAGACTCTTAGCAAACTACTTCCGCTACTATGCTGTATCCTTCATCTGTATTTGTTCAATATTAACCTACTCGGTCGTGACTTGGGGGGTAGCTGGGTACGGCCCTCATATCTGCATGGCTGCCCTTTACCTGCCACCGTTCATATTTGCCTGTTTGTATTCTTTAATCCCCATTTCTTTTGTACAGGAGGTTACTGACCTGACTCCCTGAAGAATTTTGTAGCTACCACTTGCCATGTTTTCACTAGCCTATAGATCCAGGCCTGATCCTACTGCATCTCTAGTCTTCTCATTACCTTAAATCCAAAATTTGAGACCCCTTTCCCCTCCCCCCTCCCCAAGTACAGAGAGCGCCTGAACCCACTGATATCTTACAATCCTCTCCTCCAGAGTGTTCTTCATCCAATAGTACTGTCAGCGCTCCGGGTATGACCAGAGGTATGTGAACTGACGCAGGGAAACGCAGGCTTCAGATTATGTTATAAAACAATATAATTTATTAATACGAACAATACATAAACGCAGTGCAATACTCAAAAACATAACATCACAGTGCAAACGAACCAAACCAAACCACCCACAGAATAACAGTACATAAAATGCAAGCGTAGTCAGACAGCCGGGTCAATAACAATCGGGCAGGTAGGAACAGGAGGAGCCGGGTCTGGTAACTGGCGGGATATCAAAGACTGGCACATCGGGCTGGACTCCGGGCAGAGGCACATCGGGCTGGACTCCGGGCAGAGGCACATCGGGCTGGACTCCGGGCAGAGGCACATCGGGGCTGGACTCCGGGCAGCGGCACATCGGGCTGGACTCCGGGCAGAGGGCATCGGGCTGGATTCCGGGCAGAGGCGCATCGGGCTGGACTCCGGGCAGAGGCGCATCGGGCTGGACTCCGGGCAGAGGCGCATCGGGCTGGACTCCGGGCAGAGGCGCATCGGGCTGGACTCTGGTCAGAGGCGCATCGGCTGGACTCGGGCAGAGGGCGCATCGGGCTGGACTCCGGGCAAGAGGCGAATCGGGCTGGACTCCGGGCAGCGGCACATCGGGCTGGACTCCGGGCAGCGGCACATCGGGCTGGACTCCGGGCAGCGGCACATCGGGCTGGACTCCGGGCAGAGAGGCACATCGGGCTGGACTCCGGGCAGAGGCACATCATGCTGGACTCCGGGCAGAGGCACAGGGCCCCCAGGAGCGGCGGGAGCGGCAGGCACAGGGCCCCCAGGTGTGGAGCTGCGGGCCCTCAGGCGGAGCGGCGGGCACCGGGCCCCCAGGAGGGGCGGCAGGTGCCGGGCCCCCGGGCGGAGTGGCAGGCGCTGGCCCCCCAGGAGGGGCGGCATGCGCCGGGCCCCCAGGAGGGGCGGCAGGCACCGGGCCCCCAGGCAGAGCGGGCGGGCCTCGGGCCCCCAGGCGGCGCGCCAGGCCCCCAGGCGGAGCGGCGGGCGCCGGGCCCCCCAGCGGAGCGGTGGGCGCCGGACCCCCAGGAGGGGCGGCAGGCACCGGGCCCCCAGGCGGAGAGCGGCGGGCACGGGTCATCAGGCACGACAGCGGGCATCGGGTCACCAGGCATCAGGTCATTTGGCTCGCCAGCAGGCACTGCGTCATCTGGCAAGGCAGTGGGCACCGAGTCACCAGGCACGACAGTGGGCTCTGAGTCAATTGGCACGACAGCGGGCACCGGGTCACCTGGTGCTGGATCGTCTGGCTCAAACAAGCGGGCATCGGGTCACCAGGCATGACAGCGGGCACTGGGTCATCAGGCAATTGGATCGTCTGGCTCGACAGCGGGCATCGGTCACCAGGCATGACAGCGGGCACTGGGTCATCAGGCATTGGATCGTCTGCTCGACAGCGGGCATCGGGTCACCAGGTATGACAGCGGGCACTGGGGTCATCAGGCGTGATAGGATCATCAGGCTGGATCAGTTCATCAGGCTGGGTACAGACATCAGGCTGGGTAGAGACATCAGGCTGAAGTGCGGGTGCCGAGGCACCAGGCTGAACCACGGAAGGCAGGTTCTCAGACGGCAGGCTCACCGGTTTGGATACTGGCAGGATGGTACTGGTTGGAAAGAATTTTTCGCTTTTTTCTGGTTTTAACTACTGGAGCACTGCAAGTAAACGCAGGTCTGCAAACGAATGGAGCAGCTGAGGACAGAGAAGAGCTGGAAGATGGAACAGAGGAGGGAGCAGCCGCCACAGAGGACCTCTCCACAGGGCCAAAGAAAGGATAGGTGCAGCGAGTGGGAGCAGGGGACTGGTATGTGGTAGTTAGCAGAGTATACTGGGCCGTCACTGGGGGTGCTGTCGGGGATGCAGGAGGAAGAGTGCCTTGAGCAGAGGAATGGCGTTGCAAGCTGACTGAGGCTGGGTGCAACAAGTCTGACCACGTCTGCAGTATGGGTTGAACAAAGCTGAGCTTACACAAAGCCTGTCTGGTCAAAGAGACTGCACTGCGTTTATACAATCCCTTAATGCCTGTGGTGAACATGCAGCATAATGCTCCCAGAAGCAATCCACATCATCCTCTAATAACCATACCAGGGATTCTACCTGGTCTGCACTAAATGGTGGCAAAAAGTCATTCCTGCTTTCAGGGGTACCAGATGAAGCCAACTCTACACAAAAACCTGAATCAAAGGTTGCACCTCAGAGAACTCTGTGCCCTGATCTACTAGAACATGAGCGATCCGTATATACATTCTAGCAGTTGATCCCGGGTATACTCCTCAGAGTCTGATAAGCATATCTCTGTCATCAAAAACCAGCAGCGACAAATACACAACCTCATCAGATCCATCCTTCTTCCCAGCAACAAAGCCAAGATGGCTTCCCTGTGCAGCCACTTCTGGTCAGGATTGGCCTTGGTGGTGTAATGTCAGCGCTCCGGGTATGACCAGAGGTATGTGAACTGACGCAGGGAAACGCAGGCTAGAGATATGTTATTAAAACAATATAATTTATTAATATGAACAATACATAAACGCAGTGCAATACTAAAACATAAACACAGTGCAAACGAACCAAACCAAACCACCCACAGATAACAGTACATACAATGCAAGCGTAGCGTAGTCAGACAGGCCGGGTCAATAATAATCGGGCAGGTAGGAACAGGAGGAGCAGGCAGAGAGTAGTCAGGTCACGAGCCGGTACAGCAACTAACGGGCAGGTAGGTACAGGGGGTCAGGCAGAGAGAATGGTCGGGGTCACAAGCCAGGGATCAAACAGGAGAAGTCAGCAGAGGTCTGGATCAGGCAGGGTCAGCAAAAAAATCAGTCAGACAGGAACAGGAACAGGAACAGGAATGCAGGTAACAAGATACAGGGGCCCATGGAAAAACACACACCAAGGCACAGACTGCAGGTCTGGCCATCCCTTAAATACACCTGCAATCAGCCTCAGGTGTTTTGGCTGACTGCAGGGTTGAGTCTCTGATTGCTGAGAGCACCCACTGGCCAGCCCTGGTACTGCAGCCCACAAGGCAGGTGAGTCCCACCATTATTGGCAAGTCCATTCCTGACAAGTACTATATCTTGAATCATACACCCATTGAGGACCCCCAATACAACATATCCCCCACTACACACCAACAACCCTGTTCCTGGGGATAATTTTAAACTCCAGCTGTAGCTATTGCTTATCAGTTCACTTCTTATGATAGTTTTAAGGCCATTGTGGCGCGGAATGGCTTTCACTGCTGCCCCAACCTTGCCCCCCGGTAACCCCTGACAGGTTTCCCTGAGACAAACAAGTCTAGGCTTACCGTGTTGGGCTTTTAGCCCCTCTTGGTTAGGCGATATAGTACAGTGGCTACCTTCTCGATACGGAAGTAACCATAGTATCTTACTATGCTCCAAACCGCAACCCGACCCTCTTTCTCTCCCATTTCTTGACCATTATTGTCACTCACAAACAGGGCACTCTGCTCATTTGTGGAGACTCAAATCAGGTGATATACCTATTTTTGGATAAATCCCCTGTTTCTGAGGTGCCCAGTCCTATTAAGCGCAGTTTCCATGCCCTCATTCAACAACACTCCCTTCTTGACTCCTGGCGAAAAGTAAACTCAGCTAGTAGACAATTCACTTATTTTTCCCACCCACATAACACATTCTCACGTATCAACCATATATTTCTAACTGTCGGCTCGTCACCCACTATACTATCCTCTGTGATCGAACCTTATTACCTGGACTGACCATAATGCTATCATTACAACAATAGACTCTCTAATCCCTAGGTCTAAAAAAAACCTTGTTGGCTCACCCGGCGCATCGGGCCCAGATAGAGATTGCCATCAAAGACTACCTATCCCACAATATACGCCTGATATCTAGCCAGTTACGTTATGGGAGGCCTATAAACTAGTATTGCGTAGGGTGTTAATTAGCCAAGCATCCTACTTGAAGTAGGAAAGATGGCTACTCCATAAACGTTTAGACGCCACCTTTCACGACTCTTACATGGCTTTTCAAGGTGATCCCTCTCCCATACATAAACAGGCATACGAGAAGGCCCGATTGGAGCTTGATCTTTTCCAAACTGAAATCTTCTGAAAAAGCACTGTGTAGGTCCAGACACAAATACTATATGAAAGCAAATAAACCAGATACCTTCTTAGCCCTGACTCTCCGCAATCTAGACCATCCGTTCAAACCTATACGCTTGAAAACTACTAAGGATTCATATACAAAATAACCCTGGCAAATAATAATCGAATATTCCAGAAGCATCTTGCAGATCTCTACTCTGCAAAAACCCCTTTTGCAGAACATAAATCCGAAGCCTTTTTTTCCAACCTTTGCCTCCCAGCGCTGTCATAGTCACAACACAATTCCGGTGAGGAAAAACAACCTATCTTAGAGCTGGAAATCATTCTTACAATTAAATCTCCTAAATCTAATAAATGACCAGGACCAGACAGCTTTAAAACCCCTGCTACAAACATTTTGGCAGACTACTAGCTTCGCTACTCGCCAGGCCTTTAATTCTCCACTGAACGGTCACATACTGGGACCGGATTCCCTTTCAGCCATCATCACCATGCTACCTAAGCCCAACTCTGACAATACCTCCTGGTCCAAATACAGGCCCATCTCCCTCCTCAATATAGATGTCAAGATCTAGCAAAAATTTCGTCCACATGCTTGAACAAGATTATAGGTTCTCTTATACATAAGGATCAAGTGGGTTTTAACCCCTTGCGCGACAAGCAGGCTATGGGGTTCGACGAGCTATCCTACTTGCCCATGCAACCAGGAACCGTTGTATACCCACGTGTTATGTGTCTTTCAATATCATGATCTCCTGGCCTTATCTACAATTTACCCTGCGTAAATGGGGCTTCGGCCCACACCTCCTTACCTGGGTTACCTCACTCTACTCCTCGCCAACAGCTTATCTGAAGTATGCAGGACACAAGTCTGACCCTTTCTCAGTTCAACACGGGACTCATCAGGCTGTCCCCTGTCCCCTCTCCTCTTTGCCCTAGGCATTGAACCTCTTGCCCAAGCTATATGTAATAATCCTGATATCTGGGGGCTGGAGCTGGGAGCCCACCACCACAAATTAACTGTTTTTGCAGACGATATCCTCTTGTTTATGACGACTCCACACATCTCCGCCCCCAACCTTTTGTCCACTCTGGTCCAGTTTTCTATTATCTCTGGTTTGCCAAATCAACCTTCAAAAATCTCAGACACTTAATATCTCAGTGCCTTCCGTTGCCTTCACGCAACTCCAAGATACCTCTCCCGTTCTCTTGGGTCCCACACCATATTTCTTTTCTGGGCATCAAACTTACCGCCGACCCAGCAAACTCTTTTTTCCACCAATTACCCTCCTATGCTGATGCATTTAACCAACCTCATGACTTCCTGGTCCTCTTTGCCCCTGGCATGGATGGACTTGCGCGCTCTCCTCATAACACCATACGGTCTTTTCTCCACAACCCTGCATTCACACCAGCCTGGACATCCAATGGTTCCGCAGAGGCCTTACAAGGGCGCACAGATTGACGACCCCAGACGCTTTCAAGTTATTCCCTCATTTGAGCGAATCCTATGGCTTTTTGGGATTTGAGATATTCCGTTACTTGCAAATTAAACACTTTTTCTCACTCCGAAATTGCAGAGTAACCCCACTGTACCGGGCTTGACTGAATTTGAACGAACTTGCAAGAATGACCCACACATACATGAAGCTTGATTTCCACACTCTATTCCCACCTTTTGTCCAAACAGTCCTTCAAGACAAAGTGACCGCATATGAACGGCTTTGGAAACCTTTGGAAGAACATTTTTTTCCACCTAATTTTGATGAATCCTTACTTTTTCCATGTTAGGATCTACTATTGTTCCCGGGCCGACAATGGGACCTCACTTACCCTCGGGGCTACCCCCCTGGTCCCCTATGACTCCCTTGTCTATTCCCCCTAGTTACTTCCTACCTATTCCTATTTTCCTCCTATGATCTCACTTTGAGCCCCCAGGCCAGGACTTTCCTATACCCCTCCTGCTTTGTACGATGTATGAGGTATTTTTTCTGCTGTATGGTTTTCGCCTTGCTGACCCTACATTCTGACCTATTGATCTGTAACCCTAATTGTTATAATGCTGTAACACTGGCTTGTTGCCTTATATATTATAAAATATATATTTTAAACAAGAAAACCAAAAAAAAAAAAAAAAATAGTTCATTTGTATTCATTCATTTGTGACTTGAGGGTTTTGTAAGTTCAATAATATTTTCACACTCTGGGGTTGATCTACTAAAGCTGGAGAGTGCAAAATCCCGGGTGCAGCTATGCATGGTAGCCAATCATCTTCTAACTTCAGCTTGTTCAATTAAGTGTTTTGACAAAAAATCTGGAAGCTGATTAGTTTCTATATAGAGCTGCACCAGATTTTTCACTCTCTCCAGTTTTAGTAAGTCAACTCCCTTGTATTGTCAAGCAAAACATCAAAGTCGCATTCAAGGCCATCGAAAATCATAAGCAAGTCGTATCATAAAAATCACATGCAAGTCCCATCAAAAAGTCAGAAGCAAGTCGCATTAAGTTGCAAGCAACTTTCTAAAATAACAAAATGACATAAAAGATAAATTCCAAATCTTACAAAATAGAATGAATCAATTAGGAACAATGAATACACAAAACGAATCTGAATATACAAAATAAATTCAAAAAAATGAATCATTCTAACATAATCAATATGACAAAACAAAATGATTGAATTCACAAATGAATCTGAAACTAAACAAAACAAATTTTTA